CTAGTCATCATGATAATGGCAAATCATATTTTGAATATCCAAGTCTACTTGTGTGCTTAAATTAACTACTAGCGTTCTTCTTATCTACCTGCAGTTATCACGGGAATATCCTGTGGTAGACCACAGTTATGACGCTTTAGTTGTTGGTGCTGGAGGTGCTGGTTTACGTGCGGCCTTTGGTCTTGCACATGAAGGATTTAAAACTGCTTGTATCACCAAGCTTTTCCCAACAAGATCACATACTGTTGCAGCACAGGTTAATGCTTTTACTTAATTTAAAATAATATTTTAAAGTAACTTTCAAACTTAAACAGAGTCTGGACAGGGTTTGTCGTCAACCAATTGTTTGATTTACATCCCTCACACAAATAGAAATAACGTGTTGTGCTTTCACTAGTTATTTGAACAATAGCCATCACCTTTTTGCTCATAAGGTATGATTACCTAATCCTAAGCAATGCACAAGAAAAGTTTGTAATAATTCGGGCCAGGACAATGATTATCACCCTTTTCCCATGTTTTTCCTGCAGATTCCTTGAAGATTATTGTGTCAGCAATATATAATGAATTAATGTAAAGTGCAGTCAATTACTTTAACCCTTAAACTCCCAAACTGACCAAGACAGAATTTCTCCTTACAATACAAATATAATATCAAGTAGACAAGTGTTGAGAATAAAGAATAATATCAAGAAAGGGATTATAACATGTTTTCAATTAAATTAAATGTCATTTACATGTATGCAGGACGTGCCCAAAGAATTCTGTTTTTATTTACTAGGGAGGAATCAATGCTGCTCTTGGAAACATGGAACCTGATGATTGGCGTTGGCATATGTGAGTTTGTTATCTTTTTATGGCAAGGAATGTAATTATCGCTACTTTCTCTGTTTTTATAAACATTCTATTCCGCTATGGGCATTCTCTTCCAGTTTCCCAATATTTATCTTGTTGGCATCTATCTGCTGAGAAAACATTCAGTGACTAGTCTGTTTCAAAGTTGACTCTTTTTGCATTTTTGTTGACACCAATTTTGCACATCCAATTCTGGGATTCAGCACTAGCTGTGTTATGCAGTCTTGGTCAAAACAATGTATTCAAATGTTATTCATGTTACTGGTTTGTTTGGGGTTTTAAATACAGGTATGACACAGTGAAAGGGAGTGACTGGCTTGGGGATCAGGATGCAATTCATTACATGACAGAGGAAGCCCCAAAGTCAGTGATTGAGGTATGTGCTTCTCAAATGAATGTTGTAAATTGACCATTGTGAAGAGTTTAAAAGCTGACATTTTGAGCATTAGCCCTTGGTCAGAGCAATTGACGAAGGTCTAACGCTCAAAACCTTTATGTTATTAACTTAATTGATAACACTAAATTACCCTGTTATACTCTCCCACCAATGCAGCACCACAGTTTCTTCAATTTTTTAAAGCCAAACTAATAATTCTAGCCAATTAGATCACATAATACATGCGTGATGAACCATGAAAAGCTTACAGTAAACTCACAACCGGCACTAAGCGTCAAAAATGCAAATTAGAAAGTAGTTACAATTTTTCTTCTTTTAAGTTTGTTTTTACCAGTCGAGAAAATGTACATGCAGTAGAGCAGCACATTCCTGGATTGCTTTTGACAAACAATCAAAAGTTGTCGTCAATGTGAATTAGTTCTCTGTAAGGTACATACATGTATCATGTAAAAATTAAACTTGGAAGTTTGACATTCCATGCATGGTACAGTACATTCTCAAGAGTCATTGTTCATCCAGCAGACAAGCAAACATTCATAAAAATAGTGAGTAAAACAAATTTAAAGTGTTTGTATTGTTTCCTTTCTTTTGTACAGCTTGAAAATTATGGAATGCCCTTCAGTCGAACAGAAAAGGGCCAGATTTATCAGCGCGCATTTGGTGGTCAGAGCTATAATTTTGGTAAGGGAGGTCAGGCACACAGATGTTGTGCTGTTGCTGACAGAACAGGTCACTCCTTGCTTCACACTTTGTATGGCCAGGTAAGGAGAGTATGTTTGAAGAAAAAAATATATTTTAGGGGGTAAGGTTGGGTAGGGGTTTGTTTTAGGAGGTACATGCAAGAACAATTTAAACTTAGATTTCAGTTTTGAGTTACGTTGATATTTTTTGTTTTTTCATTTGTAATTATTTCTTCTTTAGTCCTTGAGATATGAAACAGAGTATTTTGTGGAGTATTTTGCACTGGATCTCCTCATGGACCAAGGAAAGTGTGTGGGAGTTATTGCCTTGTGCCTCGAGGATGGGTCACTTCACAGATTTAAGGCAAAGAACACAGTGATAGCAACTGGGTATGTTAGTGATTACTGTTATATACACAATGGATTTACCTTTGAACAATAACTGTTATTGACTGTATACTTAACCATTTAACTCCCAAGATCCAATTTTTAACCCTCCCCTCTAGCTGCTACACATTTCCTTAAAAAATATTTACAAGAATTTGGCATAAGATCAAGATAATAACTCCTACCTGATAAGTTTGAGAATTCTCATTACCTGTTCGTTGGATAATCTGTGGATATTATTAGGAGAAGTTACCTGTTAATCACTTCTGGAAGTTACAAGGTTAAAAGTAAACATACAGTCTTTCAATGCTGTTTCTTTTCATTTGCAATACTGTTGTGCATATGCCTAATGTAGTTCATTTTAGGGATATTTGGCTAATTCGTTGTTTGTTTCCTCTAGTGGGTATGGCCGTGCCTATTTCTCCTGTACTTCAGCACACACCTGTACTGGAGATGGAACAGCCATGGTGGCAAGAGCAGGACTTCCTAACCAAGACATGGAGTTTGTCCAGTTTCATCCAACAGGTATTTACAAGGAAAGTTCTTTTAACAAAAGAGGATCTATATCATAATTTCCCAGTTTCTGCAGCATGATACAAGTTCTCCCTCCAGGAGTGATTTTGAACCCCAATGTTTTAGCCACTGATTCATCCCCAGCATTTGAGAATGTTTCCTGAATAGTTTTTTTTCCTTCATTGATTTTAACTTAAAGAGAAAGACAATTGAGAATAAAGTGCCCTGCCCAAAAACCTCTTAAGACAACCTTTTCACTGAAGCCTACAGCACCTATTATAGTTTAATTATGGCACCTTCCACTTGTTTCCAATTAAAATTTTTTTTGTGTTCTGGCCTATTTTCCAAAATTCTTAAATTGGTAGCACCTTCAAATTTTGTTTCAAAAATTGTAAATTGCTCAATGCAACCTGGCCAAAAGTCCCCTGCAAAATTTTGGAAAGAGCATATTGATATTGAGAATGTGCTATATAAATGCAGCACTACCTAAAAGACTAAAGATTTATTTGTTCATTTTTGTGTAGGAATTTATGGTGCTGGTTGTCTGATTACTGAGGGAAGCAGAGGAGAAGGAGGTTATCTTATCAACAGTGAGGTACTGAACTGTGTACTCTGTACTTGTTTTACAATTGTTTCTGTTCTATCAGATATAAGTAATCATATTCTCTGGGCTTGATTTATTATGGTGTCCTTTCTTTAGGGAGAGAGATTTATGGAGAGATATGCACCTACAGCTAAAGACTTGGCATCAAGAGATGTTGTGTCCAGATCAATGACGATTGAGATCAGAGAAGGAAGGTGAGTACATAAGCAAGTTTGTTTCTTTATTGTAGTTATTTTTTGGGTTATGGGTGCAACTTAGCAGCCATAGGGGTATAGAAAATAATTTGCGATTGGAAGGTTAGCTTCCAATTTTTTTTTTCATTTACACTGAAGAAGGATTACTTTCCCTTGGTTAGTTTACAAAGTATTTTGTGACTTCTGATCAGACCTGAGTTAAGCTTATTGCCAGTTCTAAGGTAGTCTTAACTTACATTTGATTTTCTTTTCAGAGGGGTGGGGCCGGACAAAGATCATGTGTACCTTCAACTGTCCCATCTTCCAGCTGAGACACTCAAGACACGGTTGCCTGGAATATCAGAGACAGCCATGATCTTTGCTGGAGTCGATGTGACCAGGGACCCCATCCCTGTTATTCCCACAGTGCACTACAACATGGGAGGTATCCCCACAAACTACATGGGTCAGGTAGGTGTTGTCCTCCCTCTTCCCAATCCCCTCCATCCTCTCTTGGGTCTGCTACTCATGGGAGAAATATTGTCTTCTTCCCAATGTCTTCTGCTGTGAGATTGCAAGAACATCAACCTGTAGTTTAAGTTCACGTACCAAAAACTTGTCATTCTTTTTCACCATTCATCGCTCAATAATTGAATTTTTGCAATTGCTATTTCTGTGGTTTGCAACAATATGGAAATATGTGCTCTTTGAGAATTGTCTTTTCCTCCAATGAAACTTGGTGAGGATGAAAAGGGAAGTAAACAAATGGGAGTGAAATTTCCTGTGTGCTTTCGTGCCTCCAACTTTTAATGCTTAACCCAATTGAGGCTCTGATGGCACTCTCTATCATATTGTTTTGTTGTTTATTGGGGAAAAAGTGCCATGTCAAATTAAACAGCCAATGACAAGTTAGAAAGAAGTTTTCCAATGATGTAAAGTTTTCTCTATTTCCAGGTTTTGACAAAGAAGGAGGGCAAAGATGAAGTCGTGCCAGGCCTCTGGGCGGCTGGAGAGTCTGCATGTGCCTCAGTCCATGGTGCAAACAGACTGGGTGCTAACTCCTTGTTGGATCTGGTTGTGTTTGGACGAGCATGTGCAAATTTCATTTCTAAGTTTAACAAGCCAGATGAGACACTTCCCGAGCTCCCTTTGGTAAAACATTTTCCTTCCATCCCTTCCTTACATCTATGTGTTTTTCCCTGGTGGGCAGCCATGTATTCTTTTAAAACCAACTCTCAGAAATGGCAATGGACAATAAACCATGTCCTTGCCAAAAGATTTCATAAGATTGTTTCATCTCATCAACTGCTTTTGGTGTAATTTATTTATGTTGTTTGGAGAACTTATTCTAATCACTTCTTGGATATGAGAATCTTCCATGTGAAGTGTCTGTTATTACATGAGAGAAACATGAAATTTAAGTTGAGAAGCAAAACTATGCCTGTGAATGAGCAAATTGCATTAAGAGCTTTATGGGAATTATTTCATAGGAAGAGTCTATTAGTAGTAGATAGAGACAAGAAATGAGTTATGTACTCATGAATGAAAATGGTTCCATTGTGTTTTGAGTGGAGAATAATTATATAAATTCTTTTTTGTTGATATAGAATGCTGGAGAGGAGTCTGTTGCTAACTTGGACAAAATTCGATATGCTAATGGCAGTACACCTACTGCAGATTTGAGAATGAACATGCAAAAGGTAAAAGTTGCATTTTGAGAAAAGTGGGAGGAACATTCTATTTGCACAATCTTTCTTCCTCTGGAACAGCACAAGTTTCATGTCAAATTATGCACAGAAGTTGGTCTTTAGCATACGCACTATTACATTTGGGGATGTTTCTCTAACTTTTTTGGTTTTGTTTTTGTTTTGATTGTTTGCTTTCTTTTTTTGAGTCTTTTTTTTTTTGCACCTCTGACCTATATTAAACTTTCCAAATGATTGAATAGAATTGTGAATGGTTAGAGATCAAAGAAGATTTGGCACTGAATCAAACAATATTTCCTAGCTGAGTGTGTTGCTTTCTTATTATCATCCTGCTTTAACCTTTTAACGTTCAGATCAAATTTGTAACTCTCCTTACTGTCAACCATGAAATTCTTATAATGTTAGTTCAGAGAATTTAGTATTGGATCAACAAATTATCCTTAAATTGATATTTTCTGTATTCTCATCACTTATCTGGTTGATGTTGTATTGTTATTGTATGGAGAAATTCTGTGTTGGTCACTCATGGGAGCTAAAGGGTTAACTGATATTGAGAGGGGAGAGCACTTAGTGGTTTTCTTGGGAAGTGGAAACTCTTAAGCTAATTTTTTTCTCATTGTTCTTTCCAGACTATGCAGGAACATGCGGCTGTATTTAGAACTGGTACAGTCTTGGCTGATGGCTGCCGAAAAATTGATGATATCTACAACCAGACAGAAGACCTCAAGGTACAAACACAATTGGACTTTTGTCTTGCCCTAAAGCTTTTCACCAATTGCCTAATTCTATCTCACACCGTGGTCATTAAAACTGCATTTTGCTTTTGAGAACCAGACAGCATAAATTACTTATGCTCAAGGTTTTTTTGAAGTAATCTTTAAAAAATTTTTAGACCGCCCCTCAACTCAATGTTTTCTTGGGTAATCTGTCGCCAATGTTTTAGATTTTCAAACCAAAGGGTGGGCAGGAGTATCAAGGTGGTAACTACATGACATAAATACTCCTTTCCCCCCCCCCCCAGCCCCTCCCCCTACCCTTCCACTTAAGGTTCTCACAGTGGGAGCCATTGCAGTCACAAGTTTGCAGAGAAATTTAACCTATTTCTTGCACTGTTTAAGTTTTGCTCTTCCTCTCCTGTTATCTAATTTCTAGTTGTTTGATCGTGGCATGGTGTGGAACACAGATTTGGTTGAAACGCTTGAACTACAGAATCTTCTCATCAACTGCAAGCAGACTCTTTATGGAGCAGAGGCTCGTAAGGAAAGTCGTGGTGCGCATGCTCGAGAGGATTTCAAGGTATTGTTCAGTTAATAGTGATTTTCAAGTGAGTGTCGAAATGAATGCGGGATTGCGATTATTTTACTTTCCTTTCATTGATAGGAAGGATGCCGAATCTATCAATGAATCTCTCTATCAATCAATCAATAGAATCTATCAATCAATCAATAGAATCTATCAATCAATCTAGACAGTTCTGTCTAATTGTGGGCAGCTAAGTTCCATTTGCATCGCTACCGCTTCATTCAATGCGTTCCATTCTGAACTGGGAGATTGTGTCTGATTTTGAATCAATGGATCCTATACAAGGAAAAAATGAAATAAATAGAGTTTATGGTAAAGTTCATAAACTTGTTGATGTTACTCGATTGACAAAGTATTAACTAATTAAGGGCGATTTTCAATTGAGTGTTGTTAAACCAAAACCGATGTAATCACAGCAGCCAATTGGAAGAAAGGAAAATTCCTGCAAGAGCCAAGGAGAAATCAAACAAAACCATCCAAACTGCCCAATGTGTGCAAGGAATCAAGTCGTGATTGGTGTTAGTTTTGTAACTGATTGGTTGGGAGAGTGATGCAAGTTTTCTGGACCAATAACAGAACAAAGTAAAGCAATCCCGAATTACTTTCAACACTCAATTAAAAATTGGTTTATCGACTCACTAATGATGGAACTAAGGGCTTAAAACTTGCTTGTCCTGTTGATCTTTCTTTTTGATCCTCTGTAGGAACGTATCGATGAGTATGACTACTCCAAGCCGCTGGAAGGTCAAACAAAGCGTCCGTTTGATAGCCACTGGAGAAAACACACCTTGGCCTGGACTGAACATAATACAGGAGAGGTATGTCAACATTCTTGTTCAATTTTTCCCAAGGGGACCATACATAGTATTTTGTTTCTTCTCCATCTTCTCCCCTCCCTCTACCCTGCAGAAAGATAATGTTAGTGAGGAAAAATTTGAGTGTAACTTATTGACCACAAAGGTTAGCTTTAGTCCTCGTGGGCTCTGTTCCTCTGTTTTGGAGCAAAGTTTTTGTTGTGGAGATAATTTTCTGTGTCTTTGATTTTTTTAATATTGGGCAAACAAAATTCATTTTCCAAAGAGGTTTCCCCTTTCTCCCCTTTGAAGACTGATTTTCTGTCCTGTTTGCCTTGTAGACAACCCTGGATTATCGAGGAGTTATCGATGAAACTCTGGATCAGAAAGACTGTGCCTCTGTCCCCCCGGCAGTTCGCTCTTACTAGAAGGCCAAATACTGATAGGAATGAATGAAAATCTTTGCAGGGCTAACGGGGGGGAAGCACTGATTTAACAGAACTAATTTAAGTATATACTGTTCTCAATTGAGAATTTTTGCGTGTAAAAAGTTTAAAAAAGGAACAGGATTTTAAAGCTAGTTTCAAAAAAACTTAATTGGAATTATATGTATTTGTTGATGATTTTGTCTTACGTAGCACAAGTGTTGTGTTTGTTACTGTTCTTTTTTGCTTCAGAAATTCGCCCTACTATTTTCGTTCTGTTCGTTTATTTGTTTTTCTGGCTTCAGTGAGAGATTTTTTTGTTGTTTGATACTCGGGTAAGAATTTTCTGCCTATTTAGTTTTGAGGAAAAGTTCTCCACTCAGGGTTGATCCAAAATTGTTAAAATTGCAGTATTTCTTATTTAAATGTTCATCGAAAGATAAGGAAATTAACAATAGCACTCAAAGATTCGAGTGGTTTTTTTATATTGTTAAGGCTATTCAATTATGTAAAAATTGCTGAACGAATAAACGAAACATGCCATGAAGATATTTCTCACTTTTCATTTGCTTGAATTAAACTGATTAATGGATGCCTGTTTCTGTTTGGATGGGTTTGGTTTCATTTACCGCAAAGAAATATTCAATTCATTTAATTTATTCGTCTCTATTTTGTCCAGCCGTCGTATGGACAAACTCACGATCGTTTATTCGACTGGACATGTTTAAGTTAGATTTAGAGTGGACAATAGAGGGGAGGGGAGGGGAGGG